TCCTGGCTGAATCCAGCACACTAGTGCTGTTTAGTGTTATGCTATTGTATAGAAATTTTCAACAACTGTCTCTTGCTGTAGTGTGGTACAATGCAGGTCGCTCCTTTGGACCAAATCAAGTTTTCAGGTGTTCTAAGACCACTTTTTAAGCTAGAACCAGCGTGATTTCACAGTATGTAATATTACTGTTTTGTTGAAATGTAAGTCATACCTATAAAATAGAGAAGTAATTTGCGTATTTACCTTTCTCCCAACTGTTTTAAAATTTGGATTTCTCCTTTTGAATCTGTACCACAGTTTGAACAGTGTGTTAATTATTAGTGTATAATAAATGACTTCCTCTCCTTTTTTTGTTTTTCTTCTTTCAGAACATTGCTACATATAAACTTCTTGGCACCTTTATTTATGGTTCTGCTGTGGGTAAAACCAATCACTAAGGACTACATTATGAACCCACCTTTGGGCAAAGAGAGCATCCCTTTGTAAGATTCCCTTTAAAAATTCTTTCTGGGGTATTGAAAACAAAGCCATACATCTAAGTAGTGCCTTGTGAAAGTCACAGGAATGCGAAAGACTTAAAATTTCATAGCTTCTGCTGGAGGTATTGTGGAAGTTGCAGCTGAGCTTTAAAGTGTTGCTGTTATTTTGGAAGAACGAGAGTTAGCACAGCGTGTTCAGCATTAAGGTGGTGGTTGCCAAAAAGCTGGTGTCTTCTGGCATGTCCTTGGCGGTGATAGATTGTTCATCCTGGGTGGAATACTACCTCACTGCCACCTTCTGGAATCTTGTATCTTACGTGTTGGTGTGGGAGAGGAGTGATTTCACTGAAGAGATTTGAGATACGTTGGCATGAGAACTGACTGAAGTGATTTGTCTTTTAAGATCTGTGCATGGATGAAGCGCATATGGAAGCGATAGCTAAAATATTTAAAACATAAAAAAGGAAAGAACATTCAGGAAGAGGGATATCTGAAATAAAAATTGTCTGAGTAGCACTGGTGATTGTCATTGTCACTACTGGTCTAGATAATTAAATAGTAGTATTCAAATAGACCTGAAACAGATAGAATTTGCTGACGATTCTGTTGCTTTCCAGGTCTGAGATAGGCTTCTAAGGTGATTTTGTGACCACTGAACTATTACATAAAACATTGGAAAATATTAATATTTTTTGCTTCCATATTGTTCCTCAGTTTATCTTAAGATAGAATTGATTAGAATCGTAGAACATTTTAAGTTGGAGAGAAGCTGTGAAATCACCAAAGCCAACTGTTAACCCAGCACTGCCAAGCCCACCGCTAAACCGTGTCCCTGAACACCTTGTCCACATGTCTCTTAAATCCCAACAGGGACGGTGACTCCACCTGGGCAGCCCATTCCCAAGCCTAATTATCTGAGCGAGCTTGTTTCTTAGTGTCCTGTCTTCATTACTCAGAATTCAAGCATTAGAGAACTGCTCTTGTTTACAGACAAGTGGATACTAATTTGTATCTGATGCTGTAATAGGGCTACTAAGAAGTAGCAGTAGAGGGAGAAGTGGAGGGTGAAAATGAATGTTATCACACACGAACTTCATAACTGTACATTTTGTGTTAAGTATTTTTGACATTATGCTTCAAGATTTCTTTGCAGATGACACACAAATGCCTGTAGCAGTAGGTGACCTTTGGCAAACAGCATTAGCCTTTTTTTTTTTTTTTTTTAATCCACAGAATGTCAGAAGATACATTTGACACCGTGAGGTTGTGGATTATAATCCTGTTGTGTGCTTTACGGTTGGCTATGATGCGTCATCATTTACAGGCCTATCTGAATTTAGCCCAGAAAAGTGTGGATCAGATGAAAAAGGAAGCTGGCAGAATAAGTATGGTTGATTTACAGAAAATGGTAAGTGTGGTGACACTGAGGTTACATATTTGGAGCGATCTGTCTGTACCAATGATTTTTTTCCCAGTTTGCTACATCTGCTGTGGCACCAGAGCTGAAATGTGAATGAAACTTCCTAAACTGTATCTCCTATAAAAATAACATTGCTGTGGAGACATTCTGCAACCCAAAATATGCAGAGGTGTATCATCCATATTATGCAGATGGCTTGTTACTCAGAAGTTGTTACAAAAGATCCCTTCATGAATTGTTCTTTACAAATATGTACAAATACGATGTGGTTTTGTTCAGCATAAATAGATATTGGGGAATGCACAGGGTGAGTGGTGATCTCTAACTACAACATAGGGAGAAAAAGACTAATCTCATCCTTGGCTTCTCTCAGTATCTGAACATTGCAAGTGGACTATGCAGTAGTTATTTTACAAAGTGGCTAGCAATTTGCTTCTGAAAAAGTTTGGAAAATACAGGTAGCAGCAACTGGCTAAGACAGAACTATGCTGATTGCTGTGAATACATTTCAGTTCTGGGAGCTTTCATGCTTTCTATAAAGCAATAATCTCTCTCTGTGTGGTGTTTCCTAAGTTTGTTTATCCAGTATTTCCCTATTTTCTCTTTGAGAAGGCTGTAAGCACTAAATGAAGTCCTGTCTTGTTTTACTAGCCATGTCTGCTTTATCTTCTAGGACTTCTGCCAGTATAGTCTTTCCTACCTGTCATTCTACAGTGATTGTTGCTTTTTAATTTGTTCTTTTTGCCATAATCCATCAATTATATACAATATTTTGTCTCATGCTTTTTCTTCTCTCAGTGTCTTACCACTTTTTCTTCTCACGTTAGTTTTTTGATACTTGCTCATCATGAAGCCCTTGTGAGGTTTTAAAAGGTATTTCTAAAAATGTCACATCTGCCTTAATCTTTTTTGCCACCCTGTATTCTGTTCTTTTCTAAAATTTCGTTAGCTTTACTTTATTGCTTGCTTGCTATTGATTTTACAACGTTTTTCCCTCTTTTTTTGGTCTAGTCTTTTAGGGCAATAGCTTATATAAAATATGTAATGTAACAATCTTGAGAAAGATGGAACAAATGGGAGTAGAGGGAGGGATAAATCTGAGTGGATTTCTGTGCACCATAATGTATACCTGAAATAGACCGTTTAAATGCTCTTATTGATCAGCTACTAATGAAAAATGATCTTGTCACTATTTTTAAAATACTGGTGTTTCACAGTCAGAAATCTTAAAAATATCTTGCTTTGAAAAGGGACTGAAATATTAACCAAACTTTCATTCACCTTTTGTGAGGCTTTGGACTGTGAGTACTATGTCCTTTTTGGATTGGTATTTAGTTTGTCAATCACTGAGGACTTTAAAAAATAACATATATTTAGCTTTGATTCTGGTGTATTGTGATAGAGATCTTTGAATGATGACATACAGTTTGCAGAAGCAAAATTGATTGTTTGTTTTAACAGAACTCATGTTTTTAATTATTTCCTGTCAGCACTTCCTCTCAGATTTGTAAATGTCCTGAGCCTAGAGATTAGTATAGGGTTTTCTTCATTAGGTCTTTTGAAGACACTATATTGTCACATGCCAAGATGCCCTAGAAAACTTTTAAAACAGCTTTAATGCAGAAGTACTGCTTTTTAGTAAATTGCTTGGTTTTCCTAGACGTGTTCATGAAGGTTTGCTTTGATCATTCAGAACTCATGAATTACTCTCTTCTGTTTTCCCAGGTGGCTCGGGTATTCTATTATCTTTGTGTAATTGCACTGCAGTATGTTGCACCCTTGGTAATGCTCCTTCACACAACTCTGCTCTTGAAAACACTAGGTAGGCAAAATTGGATCAACAAAAATGTGTTCTGTTCTACACAAGGCCTTTATGTTTTCAGCTTACTAAAGAGAATTAGAATCCACAGGTACTTGAAGTACAGAAGTTGTAGTTTCCTGCAGTTTAAAACATACTGTTGCGTGGCTTTTAAGCAGTCCTATTCTGGTTGCTGCATTTGACATCTTTCAATTATATACTAATTTGTTTGATTTATTTCTGAGAAATTGTGTAATGCAACCAATTGAGCTGTTTACTTCTGCTGAAATATTTGTCTTTTAAAAAGTATTTTAAAAGTGAGCTGTATAAAGCATTGCTGATTTAACTGTAAGAGCATCTGTTAAAGGAAATTTTTTCACCTTTTCAATCTTAACTGGGCTTTTTGAATGGAAATTGTGAGAAGCGGGGTTCGTGTTACTATTGGGAGATCTGACTGGGGCCTACAAGGAAGCTGGGAGGGGACTTTGTACAAGGGCCTGTAGGGACAGGACAAGGGGGACTGGGTTGAAATTGTAAG